TTTTTTTTGAGACAGAATCTCATTCTGTCGCCCTGAGTAGAGTGCCATGGTGTCATAGCTCATAGCAACCTCAAACTCTTGGACTCAAGTGATCCTCTTGCCTCAGCCTCCTAAGTAACCAGAACTATAGACACCTGCCATGACATCTGGCTAGGCTCATAGATTCTTTTTTTTTTTTTTGAAGATCTTTTTGGCTGGGGCCAGGTTTGAACCCACCACCTCTGGTGTATGGAGCTGGCGCCCTACTCCTTTGAACCACAGGCACCACCCAGCTCATAGATTCTTGATAGGCATTCTCAGTTTAAGGTTCCAAGTCTTTTTTAAAAACTAATTTGCATATTAAATTATAACCATTAATCAAATTACAATAAAACAAAATAAATTTAATGCAATATGCTGATATGTAATTTTTATGAGGAAAATTTATTTTTTAGGGAAAATATTAAAAAAAGGAAGCATCATAAGGGATTAAGTAGCTCTATAGGATGCTGAAACATTACACCTATCTTTGTAAATACACTCAGGGACTGTACTGATTCAATGTTGATCTACACTAGTAGGAAAGAGTCCAGAATTATTTTCTCAAACAGTTGAGATTTAGCTTAAGATAAATGGAGAATTTTGTTGGTAAGGTACATTCCAAATTCATTGCTTTTATCAAAAGGGATCACTGGTGAATAAAATTGAAACATGAAAATATAAAATTAATAAAAATAGTCATGATTATTTCTCTTACTCTCATCATCATTATGTCAGAAGACAAATAGACTTACTAAGCCCTAATGAATTGCTGGTGAGAGTACTTTGAACAACAATTTGGGAATTTCTTTAAAAGATTAATATACATATTTCTTGTGATCCAGGAGTTTTACTCCTTGTAATCTACCAAAGATATGTGTGCAAATGGCTACAGCATTAGTCATAATAGGCCTAGAATGGAAACAATTCAAATATCCTTCAATTAGCGAATGGCTAAACAAAATGTGCTATATCCGTACAATATAATGCTATTCAACATAGAAAGAAACAAAAATATATATTTACCTGGCAGGGGAGACACCATGATTATGAAGGTGGCTCTCCCAGGGCAAAGATCGTCCCCTGCACTCTAGGGTGAAAAGAGATTATTTAATTATTTAATGTACAGCACACATTATTTGGGTGATGGATACTCTAAAAGCTATCACTTGACCACCATGCCCAATCTATGTGTATAATAAAAGTACACTTGTACCCCACACATATACACAATTAAAGAGAAAAGAAATAGAAAGTGACAAAACGATAACACACAACACCAAAAATACATTACTGGGATCTGATCAAACTAAAAAGCTTCTGCACAGCCAAGAACACAGTAAGTAAAGCAAGCAGACAGCCCTCAGAATAGGAGAGGATATTTGCAGTTATGCTTCTGACAAAGGCTTGATAACCAAAATCCACAGAGAACTCAAACTTATTAATAAGAAAAGAACAAGTAATCCCATTTCATTGTGGTCAAGGGACTCGAACAGAAGCTTCTCTGAAAAAGATAGGTGCCTGGCCTACAGACACATGAAAAAATGCTCATCATTTTTAATCATCAGAGAAATGCAAATCAAAACCACTTTGAGATATCATCTAACTCCAGTAAGAGTAGCTCACAACAAAATCCCAAAACTACAGATGTTGGTGTGGATGTGGAGAAAAGGGACCACTTCTGCACTGCTGGTGGGAGTGTAAGCTAATATGGAAAGAAGAATACTCAGATATATAAAAGTAGACCTGCTATTTGAGCCTGCAATTCCTCTACTAGGTTTATATCCAAAAGACCAAAAATCACTTTACAACAAAGATACTTGCACCAGATTGTTCATTGCAGCTAAATTCATAATAGCCAAGTCATGGAAGAAGCCCAAGTGCCCATTGACCCATGAATGGATTAACAAATTGTGGTGTATGTATACCACAGAATATTATACAGCCTTAAAAAATATAGAGACTTCACCTCTTTTACATTAACATGAATGGAGCTGGAATATATGCTATTCATTAAAGTATCTCAAGAATGGAAGAGAAAATAGCCAATGTACTCAGTACTATTATGAAACCAATTTACAATTACTCACACTTTCATATGAAGAATAGATCACAACTAGGGCCCAGGCTGAAGTAAGGGGGCAGTGGGCAGGGACGGGGAGGTCAGATGGAGGGAGAGTGAATGGTGAGATCACACCTATCATGGCATAATGCAAGGGTACATGTTGGACCTATTAAGTATAGAGTATAAATATCTTAACACAATAATTAAGTAAACGCAATGAGGTATATATTATCCAGTGTGATGTAAACGTTCCTAATTCTATATGAAATCAGTACATTGTACCCCATAAATGCATTAATGTATACATGATCTATGTGTTTTGGACTTAATGAAAAAAAAAACAGTAACACATGCTACCAAAATTTACTCTAAAGTAAGGGAAACAGACACAAAGACCACATATCATGATTTCATTTACATGAAATGTTTAGAAGAGGCGCATTTATAAACACAGAAAGCAGATCAGTAGGTGCCTAGGGCTTAGGGTAGGGATGGGAATTAAATATAAATAGAAAAGTTTTGGAGGTGATAGAAATGTTCTAAAGTTGGATTGTGATAGAATTTGCACATGTTAATTTAGTAAAATCATTGAATTTTAAACATTCAGTGAGTAAATTTGTGGTGTGTAAATTATGCTTTAATAAACCTATTAATATAATTCTTTTTTAAAAACTAACATTCCCTGAGCAAGACAGAAAATTCAGAAGACACAAATAAAAAGTATATGAATAATATCATAAATTTCTTTGCATGGAGAAAATAACAAAATTAAAAGAAATTTGGGAAGCCCGGGAAAACTTTGAAACATATGTAAAATTCTCAACAAATCAATAAATAAATTAACAAATACCCAACAAGAAATTGGGCAAAGTATATAGACTGATAATTTATAGAAGAGAATATCTTGATAGTCAACAAATTTAAAATATTTTCTCAAACTCACCAATAACCAGAAAAATGCAAATTCAAATAGCAGTGTGATGAATTATTTCCCCTTAAGAATTGGCAGATATAATTGTTTTTAAATTAAGGCTAATGTAACATTTGCATTTTGAATGTTTTTTTTTTCTTTGCTGTTTGCTTGTTTGTTTGTTTGGAGACAGAGTCTCACTCTGCTGTTGTGTCACAGCTCACAGCAATCTCAAATTCTTGGACTAAAGCAATTCTCTTGCCTCAGCCTCCCAAGTAGCTGAGACCACAGGTGCCCACCACAATCCCTGGCTATTGTTGTTGTTGCATTGTTGTTTTAGTAGCCCAGGCCAGTTTGAATCCACCAGCCTCAGTGTATGTGGCCAGCACTGTAACCACTGTGCTATGGACACCAAGCCTGTATTTTGAATGTCAATAGACACTATCAAGCCACTATCTACTCAGAAACTTAACAACAGTATATGTGATAATCTATTCTCATAGAATCTTCTGAATTCTTGATTTAAAAACAATTATATTTGCCAATTTAGAGAGGGAAATAGTTCATCACACTGCTATTTGAATTTGCATTTTTCTGGTTATTGGTGAGTTTGAGAAAATATTTTATATTTATTTACTATTGGGCTATTCTTTTCTGTAAATAGTCAATCTATGGTCCTTGACCATTTTTCTGTTGTGTATTTTTTTTAATTTATTGATTTGTAGAGAATTTTACATAAGATTCAAAGTTTTCCTAGGCCTCCCAAATTTCTTCTATTATTTTCTCCATGCAGAGAAATTTATAATTTTATTCAAATTTTTTTCATTTGTGTCTTCTGGATTTTCCATCTTGCTTAGGGAATCTTAGTTTTTAAAAATAATATTTTAATAGGTTTATTAAGGTGTAACTTACCACAAAATTTACTCACTGAATGTTTAAAATTCAATGATTTTATTAAATTAACAAGTACAACTCCCATCACAATCCAACTTTAGAACATTTCTATCACCTCCAAAATTTTTCTGTTTATACTTAATTCCCACCCTCTACCCTAAGCCCTAGGAACCTACTGATCTGCTTCCTGTGTTTATTAAGGTGCCTCTTCTAGACATTTCATGTAAATGAAATCATGGCATGTGTGTCTTTTGTGTCTGTTTCCTTCACTTAGTATAAGTTTTTGTAGCATGTATATCATCATTTCGTCACGTTTTCTTATCTCTTTTTTATTTGTTTAAATGTGTGTGGTACAAGTGTACTTTTGTTAGACACATAGATTGGGTGTAGTGGTAAAGTCAGGGCTTTTAGAGTATCCATCACCAAAACAATTTTACATGTGCTCAAGGACACACAAGTGGCTGGTTGTTGCAGTACAGTTTGGAATAATAAAGTTTCTAAAAGACAAACTGATAAATTAGTCTTGATTATAAAAATTCTGTATATCAGAAGACTATAAAATATGTGTAGTGACAACATACTGCAAGGTGACATTTGAGTATTGTGTACAGCAATATGGGCACATATTGGTATACCCCTTAGGTAGTTTGAGTAATTCAGTACTTCCACGAT